CCTGCTCAAGTAAAACCTTTTGCAACTTGTTTAAAATGGTGGTTCTCAACCCGCGAGTGATCAACGGGGCCGGAACCCTCTGCAAACTCTCGATGAGCAATTTGCGATTGGAGGAGTCTTGCTCGATGCTTTCGTTGAGGAGGAGAGAAAGATCAGAGACAATGAAGGGAGCGTTAAGCATATATTCGTGGCAGACCACACTCGCCCACGCCTGGAGGAACTTCGCTTCCTCTGCAACAGCTTCCAAGGGCAACGACGACGAATGGTATTGAGCAGCTGCCAGGGACAGGATATGACGGAACAGACGAGATCGATCATCAGAAGAAATAAGAGCCCAGACTTCCGGAACTCTGACAAGGGCCAGGAAGTAAGCTAGGCCAAGGGTCGTTTGGGAGTCCACAGTATCTGTGCGGCCATTCCAGGGCGCCTTCATCGACTTCTTGGCATCCTTGGTTGAGATGGAGGTGATGAGGTCGGTAACATCCTTGGTGGCTTTAACGAATGAACCTAGCTGCTCATCACTAGCGTGTGCCTTGGTTGCAGCAATCAAAAACTTGTAAGCCTCCCATGATTCCAGAGGAGCGAGTTGAATTTTGGTTAGGTCCTTGTGGTTGCGATGAACAGTCTTGGCGGCGACTTCTACCAATGACATAATTGCACTTGCCATGGTATTATCGGCTGACTGTAGGGTGTTCTCTAGGAAATTCCGAACCAATCGCCACAGACGCCATCTCCAGTGCAGAGCCTGCTTTGACGACAGAGTAGAGGTTAGGGTTTCCAGGAGAGATGTCAAAGTCTTTTCCGATTCTGGGAATGTCGAGACTCGGCCACGGAAGCTTGCCTCGACAATAACAAATTTGGCATAAGACTGAGGGGTTTTAATAACCTTGCCATTTTCAGCTCGCGTCTCGATAGCAGCGGTACGCATCTGGGCAGCAATATGCGTCTCGGTGAGGGAAGTTCGCATCAGTTCCGAGTAAGCATCTGCCAACTCATCATCTTCCCAAACCGAGAACAGACTCAAATTGCTGTTATCTTGGCGTGCTTCCTCCACGATAACGAGTTGGTTGTGCCACAATTCCATGAAGCCGGGCAGATCTCTTGCGGCGGCGAAGCCTCGCAACAAGGGCAGCACAACCTTGCTCTTGATTATGTCGTAGTTCCCCCGTTTCCGAGAACCACTTTCTCGCCACTGTAATAGAACCTTGTCGAGCAATGCGTCAAGAAGCTTACGCGAATCACGCAAACCGGAGTTTGGCAAGAAAATATCAACCCCAAGACTGATAAACAGAGCGGTTACATTCCACTGCACCTTCTCAAGGCCTTGTTCGAAAAGACCAGTGTAATTGGCATGCGCCAGAATGGTGTGAAGAGAGAGACCGACATTACGGTCGAGAGCTACCTGGAGGAGGTGTTCCAATACCGAGATAAACTTGGAAGAAAAGGTGGCGAAGTCTTCTTCCTTTGCAGTAGAGAACGCAAGCTCTGCAACAGCGACGAACAAAGTCTCCAACCACGGAGCTTCATGTGTCTGCCTCCGGAATACATCTCTAGGAACAGCACGCACGGCGTTGTCAAACAGCTCAGGAAGAAGCTCCACTGATCGCCAGGGATGCATACAAGCTTCATTGCTTGCTTTATTTTCCTTGGCCACCGCAAACTCGCGAATGATTGGTCTGAAGGTATCAGTCACTGGTTTCACTGAGCTCCAGTCAGGCTCATCCTGAGAATAATCGATGCCAGAGCTTCCACGCTCAAAGAATGCTGCACGAGCGGGAAGCAAGACATGAAGGGCAATAATGCGTTCAATCGCATGCAGGAGAGTGGCCCGCTCGTCGGTGTCAAGTTTGGCGGACCGGAGGCAGATCTGAAGCCTAAGCGCGTGGGCGAAGCAATGTCTCGCGAAAAATTCATTGCTAGATTTGTTGTCCATATCATCTTCACGGTAAGACCTCGATTCCCACAGCTCCACCGCCGAAGGAAATACGTATAGCAAGTGCTGAAGATCGGTTGTTTTCCCCTCATGCGAGAACTGCTTGGCAGCCACGGCGGCTACACGGAATGCTCGGCCCAGCAGCATGGCCACGGCCTCGGGCTCGCCCCTCAGCGCAAGCTTCAGATGAGAGTTTGCCACCCCATCGGTGCCTAGTGTGCGGTGCGCAAGTGTCACAAATCCGTGTAGACAATCTAATGCACGGATGAAGGCTAGGAAGCATGCTGCGGGGTTCTGACGTTGCTCGTCGACGTCTACGTCCATGGCGTCTGCATCATTCTCGGTTGTCATTCTCTTGCGTTTTTTCCCTTGGTTTCCTCGGCGATCATCGTGTGTCGGGGATCCAGACAGGGTGTGACTGGACTCGGAGTCAGAGCTTAGGCTTGCAAGCCCGTTCCCCAGACCGGAAAAGATATCGGCCTCCAAATCTTCGAGGGTATCACATAGAATCGATAAGAATTTCTGGTCCTTAAGAATAGCAGCGAGGTTCTTCGGTGAAATCAGGTCGATGAGCTGTCGTAATAAAAGGAACGAAGCCGCGTCCACTCTGTAGTTCTTCCCACTTCTCAGTCTCTTCAATAGCCATCGCAGAACCCATTCCTCCTTCGGGGTAGCGTTTGTTTGAATCCGAACATCTCGGTGAACTTCCGGGTGACTTTCACACAGTGTCAAATCCAGACCGATAATCTGAGCCGCTTCGTAAATCTGGGTTGTTGGACTGGCGGTGCCCTTTTCAAGGCGGAGGAGCGCCTCTTGCGATGAGCGCGGACGCTGTAGAAGCGCAACACATTAGATCCCGGGAAAAAGACATGCAGGATTTCAAGATAACACTTGACTTACCTCCGCAATCAACGGCATCTCGAAAAAAGCAAATTATTCAAGAAAGTGGATGGTTATTTGTCGAGGGGAAAAAAAAAAGACTCCAAGAAGAAAAACCGCGGATTGCTCCGACCGCCTTTGACTGAATCGACTCGGTCCGCTAAACCTCCCAAACTCCTTGCACTCCACACGCCTCCATTCACCTCTATAATTCCACATACAACTGGTTCGTGTTTTACCCTCGGAAATAGCTCCGACCCAATTGATACTTACTTTTGCCCCGGTAGATTTATCGCAATGGCTGAATCCAGTGAATCCGGGCCGATCGCACGCGCCACCAAGCCCGTCAGCGAGGCTTTGCTTAACGAGAAGGTATGAGCTAGCTGAATCCTCAAATTGGAGACGTTACAATATATCATCATACCATTGATATATATAACGATTGTCTTGGTCTGGGAGCAAACATGGGAGAACCCGTTGGCTAACCGTTAACGTCATATAATTAGTGGGACCGCGCCATCTCCTCTGTGCTCATCAAGTCCTCCCTCGGTCTGTCTTTCGGTGTTGTCTTCTCGGTTCTCCTCTTCAAGCGCAGAGCTTGGCCCGCGTGGGTTGGTCTCGGCTTCGGTGCCGGACGTGCCTGGGAAGAGGCTGATGGTATGTTAATATCTATTTTTCGTTTGTGTTTTAGAGAGACTTTTTGCGAAGTTGGAGCTTCGGGTCACTATGGGATAAGCTCCCTTGAGCTTGGGCAGAGCCTGCTTGCTGTATTTTTCTCAGCATCGAGCTTCGCAGGCCCCTCAACAATGACCCGACTCTCCGCTTTTCCCCGAGTCTGCCTATCTCCAAGATCCAAGAATGACTGAGCTAACTTATACTTAGCCTCCTTCCGCCGTGGTGACTCCCCTATCAGAGATGCCCTGCGCCGCTAAATAATGGCTTCCAAGAGTGTACGATACATTGTACAGAAGGCAAGAGGCCATCAATAAATGGTTGTCTCCGGCCCAGAGAAGAATTGGTATACCGGTATTCACCAAACCACAATCAACACCGAGCAAGGTGTTGCCTTGAGATTTCCCCCCCGCCTTTCGAATTAAGAAACATGATTTGAATTGAACATGTCCTGGCACCTCACTTCCAACACCTGCCTTCAGTAATTTCAGATTTTGGTTCCTTATGAGAACGAAGAGACAATTCCATACAAAAACGCTCAAGTTGTAAACGGCACACTTGGATGGGCCTATTGTATCAATTTAGAAGCAATACAACAAAACAAGGAGTTACTGATGCTTTGTAATTTTTTTGTAGTATATTGCTGAGTTCTCTCCATGATCTCATTTGTGCAAAAAAATAACCAAGATGTCCCGTCCATTTTGTTATCGTGAGAACAACATAATTTACTTTTCATGCTGTGCTATTGTTACATCGATTTGAAATAAAGCTAGGCTCTGTCCTTCCTTTCCGTTACGACTTCTTCCAAGCCAGCTGTCACCACGACGTAAATAGCTCTTGGCGCTGGCAGACATATATGACCCGGCACAGGTCAGAGAGGTATGAGCCAAAGCGATGAGGAAGAGAAGTATCTGCACCGGCATCAATGAGCAACTGGACGATCGCCGAATGACCCATCTCCATCGTCAATTGTACGACCCTTCCACAGGAGCATTTGGCAGGTATTCTCGAGTCTCTATAATAGGCACCGAAAGGCACCGAAAGGGGGCCGCTGGGGGGGGGGGGGGGGGGGGCGCCTAGATCATGATACGAAACATTAACATCAGCGCCATGTTCAATCAGCAATGCTACTATAGTTGCATTGCTTAATCTAGTAGCCCGGACGAGGGGAGGTTTGATATCATCGGACTCCAGTCCTCTACACAGCAAAGAGTCGTGGTCCTAAGAGATCGTATCGGGTGGGCAAGGCCGATCAGATTCCTCAAAATCACAGCTGACACTGTATCCAAGAAGGATGTTAGCGGTTGTAGTGTCCTGTTGCTCCACCGTGAGAGCAAGAGCTCTAGTACATGAGATTCTGTCCGTTCTTTGCACGAGAACCTCGTGCCATTTTATGTTGTCTGTGTTTCACTGCCATAAATAGGGCCGGTCCATGTTCTTCGTAGATAGTGTGGTTTGTGTCAGCGTCGTTATTCAGCAATAGATTGACTAGATCGAGTCTTCTGTGCTCCACGGCCTATTCCAATGGTGTAAGGGTTATTTTACTCCAAACATCTGGTATAATATCTAGATCACAGGGCGTTTGGTCGCACTCGAGAATCCAGACATTCAGATCCATGCCGTAATTGAGAATGTGAGAGAAGACATGCTTGCTATATCCGGATTTCAATGCAGCCGCGAGTGCTTCCTTTTTATGCTCCTTACTAGGAGGTTCAACCACCGCTGGACATATAGAGCCCGGGACAGCAATTTCAGGCTTAATCGTGGCCGTTTCGTCAGTGGCAAGATTCTGGATAAAATGCAATTCTTGGGCTGTCAGTTCCCTTGATTCGCATGCAGTATCATCCCCAGGATTGAGTGAAGCCTTCTTGTTTGCAATGTTGCTCTCGTCATTGACCCGGCCAATTGGTAGCCACCACATAGGAAACTCCTCGGAGGCTTTTTGTCATGTATACGTATACCACACCTTTATGTGCTCTTCGCTCTCTGACTCCTCTAAAGCTAAAGGGCTGGTATGTATAAGAACCACGCTAGTGAACCACCGTGGCGTCATGGGGATTGAAGGGAGTTGCAGACTTCCGCTGGAGGCATTCACTCCACTTCGCATCGTGGAAGAACGGGTGGGCTTTCACTTCGGTGGCTCCATTTTTGCCTGATCGTTGGATGGGAATTGTAAGTAGCATTGTTAACATGTCCTTCGCGACTGAAAGTAGGCTCTCAGGGATCTTTAGGTCTTGATCAATGATTTGCACTGCTGGTAATGTGATGCCCATGGAACCACGGATCGGCAATAGTAATTCCGGTATTCAGGCATCATAAGGCATGATTGACCCCTGAGTGCTATACACCTTCGTAAATGGAAGTATTCTCGTTTTTCTTGAATGACCTCCACTTTTTCAGGGTAAGGAAGTACGCTGTTGGACCGACTTGACGATCAAATGAAGATTGTCAACACTAGACTCTACCCGGTATCATGTACTCCACTATTATCCACCGTTTAGCTTCGAAAGTTCTGCCCTAGTTTCACTTGTTTTGCCAAATTTGGAAATGCCCGGGATCTTCAGTAACCTCTTCTTGTCCCGGCATATTATCTTTCTTCCCCTTGGATGTTCTGACATGGGTGTCCCCAGACTTCACAAGATGGCTCCTAGCAAAGAGGAATACCAGCTCACGTATGTCCGACTGGATGACCCACCGGAGACTGCAACAAACGGAAAACGCAAGTCACGGCCATTATCCGTGCCAGAACAACAAGCGATACTGCAATCTCAGACGAATTTCTTTGGTTCGAGTTGGACCTTCGAAATCCTTAATTGTCTCGTTGCTGTGGCCTTCCTGGTTGCCATTATACTTGTGTTGTACAAGTTCGATGGGAAACCAGTACCGGATTGGCCGTACGGTATCACGTTGAACGCTTTAGTCTCAGTTCTGTCTACAGCCATGAAGGCGGCAATGATGTGCATTGCTACTGAATCTTTGTCTCAACTGAAATGGTCCTGGTTTAATCAAGGCAATAAACTAAGTGACTTGGCATTGCTCGACGCCGCTAGCCGTGGACCGGCGGGGGCCTTGATTGCTCTATTTTACTTTGTTCCTCGGTAAGTCTATATGGATTCTGATATAGATCTTACCTAACATGCCTTAAAGCCATCTCATCACATTCGGATGTCTGATTCTCGTTATCACAGCTGCTACAGACCCATTTGTGCAGCAGGTGATGGGAATCCAGGGACGGTCAGTCCCAACTCACCTTAATGCATCCATTCAAGTGTGCAACTCAAGTCTTTACACCGATTTTGGAGAAGGTGCAGGCCCCGGAATGAACAAAGTACCACTGCCGACTATCGGTGCCATCTACTCTGGGATCTTCCAAGAACAAACCCCAAACAGTAAAAATCCTTTGGTAGAGTGCGCTACAGGAAACTGTACATTCGCGCCATATCAGTCTCTCGGAATTTGCAGCCGCTGCGCCAACATCACCGACCTTCTAACACTTCAGAAGGCAGCTGGGGTCACCTCTCAGCAAGCAACGTACAAGTACAAACTACCGAATGATTTCACTTTCCAAACATCCATGACTGGGACTTATCTCATGAACAGCACATATCTTGCCCCCCTCGTCAGCCTAAACACAACCGGCCTGGCAAGTATTCTCAATTTTACCGCAATCACTTCTTCTGGCTATGGTGTACCTCCCGCAGTGGCAGTGAGCGCAACTGAGTGCTCCCTCCACTTCTGTGTCGATACATATCACGCAGCTGTCAATGGCGGTGCATTCACGGAGAAGCTCACCTCAATTGAAGGCACATCGAATTACTCAAGCGCCTCCTTTGAAAACTTTGAAATCGTACCAAATACTTGCTACGTGAACGGCACACAACAAGAAAGCACACACAGCCCAGAGTGCGCCTTCAAAGTGAACCCGCTAAGCACCTTAGCTCTTTCAAACTCAATCACTCCCTTGCTCAAAGGTACGGGGTCACTCTTCATCAGTAATCGACCAAGTTGGTCATCCGACTCTATCAAAGCCCTCTACGGGACATACGGCAATTACACCGACATAAATCTTGTCTTCCAGTCACTCGCAGCCTCACTCACATCCCATGCACGATCAAAGATCTGCCACGCCTCTCATGGCGGAACTGCCTGGTCCACGGTATCTTATGTTCATGTGCGGTGGTTGTGGATGATTTTACCTATCACGCTGGTGTTCCTGAGTTCGCTTTTCTTGATCATCACTATTTTCCATACAAGGAGAGACTACATTTGGAAGTCTTCGCCTTTGGCTCTGCTCTTCTCCAACTTGGATCTCGAGGGACGCAATCCTTTCAGGACTGATCCTACCCTCAAGGGGATTCAACAGACGTCTCGCCAAATGGAGGTGCGGTTGGAGAATTCTCCTGATGGCCCTAGGATTAGGGCTGTTCCTGTATCGTGACGTGGGCATTCATTAATGATGGCTCCACTATCTACAGCCGGCAGCCCGGTCCTGGAACACCGAAAAAAAAAATCTTTTAATGTAATAGACCTATTTAGAACTAACAGGTCAGTTAATGTTATTTTTTATTAATCGTAGGAGAGAAGTATCTAGCTAGTAAAATATATAAGGTAGTTATTCCAAGACGGAGTTGAGGATAGCCCCCGCACTGGCTTGTGTCTTATATATGGAAAAAGCTGTTCGTAAGTATATATTTACTTGTTCATGCAATTTTTGCGACAGGGGCATTGATGTTATTTACAATCCCGAGTTCACTACCTGCCGGCTTTATCAAGCCTACATGGATTACAATGATCTAATGGATCGGACGGAGGATCTGAGTTCCAGTATGGTCCTCAGAAGTGGGCCGAGATGATCCCTACTCTAGAAGCTTGCGGTGAGAATTTCTCCCTAGGGATCAGCTTCGTACCAAGGAACCAAGTGATTTTCTTAAGGGTATACTTCGTAAGATGAACTTAGAGCGCTCTCCTTTAACTAATTCCCATATACTGCACAAGCGAGCTGGCGAATATATCGAGGAAAAGTCCATCACCCACGTTTGTTACTGGCCATCCTAAAATTATGTCTCTGTATCAGGGTCCACCTCAACGAATCCGGCTTTTGTGAGCAATTCGAAGCTTTTGTATGAGTACACCATGTAGTTTCAAAGTTTCAAAGAAACGGATATTAACTCACAAAGCGTCACCAAAGAATTGTTTAAGATGCCTGTACAGTTGGGCCACAAGTTTATGTATTGTTATACTTTGTAACAGATTGTCAAACTAAATATTCAAATCCAAAATTCTTCGTCCAGACGAAGGTCCATGTGATTACGGGGCGAGGATCTTTAATCCAGCACCGGCCGATGGATCTTGAGCTTTGAACTGTCCTCCTGACCCCGGCGATACGCATTTGGATCTCGAATGGTCGATGAGCGTTCTGTTCGATTGTGCAGCTTGATCTTGTTTTCCTTCAAATAATCATCCGCAACCTGCTCTGCTATCGCCCGGAACTGAACAAGCTGCATCCCAGATTTCCACGGAGATGATACTGGTTTCGACTGGAACTCAGGCTCTGTCTTAATACTGGGTTTTGTCTCCGTTGTGAATTTGGGAATATCGAAGGGATCAGATGGTTCGACTGGCTCCCGCTTTAGAAGACTTTGGATACTTTCTTCCACATCGTCGCATAAGTTTATGATTTGTGCATCGTCCGTGTTGAAGTCAGCCTTGATACTAAAGCCACCTCTATCTCCAAACTCGTTATCGGAGTCGGAATCGAAGCCGGCCATGTTCGAATCTGGATTCATCGAGACCCGAGTACTATCAGAGGATGAGACGTTGGTATCGGTCGAGGGAGCCGGTAGAAGACGTAGCCTATCAAGTTGTAGTTGACGTTCCTTTGCATCCTCCCGCTCTTTAGCCGCAATCAAATCCAGCTCTTTGCGTTGCACATGATGAAGCTCTCTGCTCTTTTCTCTATTGGCCATGGCCACAAGCCCATCTGCCACACCGAGGCGGTAACTGAATGTGGGAGTGCCCCCTTTGTAGGCACAAGCCCACTCCAGGATGTTATTGTGGGCCATCTCAAATGACATCGCTGCTGCAGCAGTATTGCTAGCAATTCCGAAAAAGGTCCAGTGCACATGCGTGTTGTAATCGGTTGAAAAGTGCTTGCAGTCAAAAAAGGTGCACATTGCTCTTGCCACTTTCCCAACAAAAGCCTCCTTCATGACCCTTTTGGATGAGCCCGCAATTTTCGTGATACGCACGATGCTCCGTCCGCCAAAATGTGCCTTACTACCATTATCATCAATAGCCATGAGATCCGCTTGGGTCACATTGTGTTGACTCATGAGCTTCTGGGATAGAAAGAGGGCGGCTTTGGCTTCTGTTTCTGTTGTGTTGACGTGATAGGCGCGGTTCAGGCACTTTTGAATCCTATCTAGAATCTTTTTATCGATAGTAGCTGTGGGATTACTCGGGTTCTCGCGAGCACTTTTGACCATAGTTGCCTTCTGAGTAGGCTTTCTGGAAGATCCTTTCCTTTCGGCTCGGGAGGATTCAGTTGGCATTTTGGGGTATGTGCGTTCGTGACTTGAAAACTAAGTTGAAATCAATGATGGATAGAAGACTATAAGAAAGGGGGAAGGGGGGAAGATACACTGCCTTTGTAAGACCAATTTTTACTTTGTACTTTGTACTTTGGCACCAGTGAAAACTTCAAGGCGAGGCCCTCATTCGTTAGTGTGATAAACAGTGCGCTGGCCGCTTTCCCCGTCACATGCCAGTTCCGATGGGATGGACGCAGCGTATTATTCGAGATTCATCCTCTTGTAGATTAATCTCCTCTAAAATACCCGGAGGATTACTTTGGGAACTGTTGTCAGGGATATACATAAAGCACGCAGGAAGAATAGAGATATGATCCGCGGGACATGGTAC